GTATAACCTTTGCTATTTTAAGTGCATCTGGAAAAACTCCATTTTGAAGAGATGAGTTAATCAAATTGCTTAAAATGTTTGATAAAAATGGCATTGTTGCTTTGATAACTTTGACATTTATTTCATCAAAACCACAGCTATTTTTGTTTTTGAGTGTCGAGGCAATTTTTTCAATTTCATTTGGTGTTGTTGGATCGAAAAAACAGCTTTGTTGATAATCTCCTATTAGATAGTTTTTGACATCAATATTAGTTTCCTGTATGCTATCAGATAATTTACTACCAATACTTGTAAAATATTGAACAAATTCATTTGCAATTTTGTGGGGATTTTTATTAACTATTAGGGTAAGTTTTCTTGCATTTCTTAGTTTTTAGCAGCTCATTTAAAATTTTCCATGTTTGTTTTAYATCTGATTTTGACTTCTCTAATGTTAGGAAATAATTCTAAAACCGCTCTTCCAACACCATCATCACCATCCCTTATGAAAGCTGCGTAGGTTCAGAAACACAAGACCTTTAGTGTTCAAGCATTGTACTCATTTCAGATCAGTTTCAAAACTATGGACGATCGAGTTGGGYCGTGGAGTGGGCATGAATATGACGACATCTTCAACCATGTGAAGTCATGTGGTCGATATCAGATACTTTTGTATGGCCTCATTAATCTCCAGGTATTTCCCATCGCAAGTCAGTTTGTCGGTCTCGTTTTCGCAACAGGAACTCCGGGCTTTCATTGCGTGACAGATAATGTCACCTGCCCTGCTAAACAGTGCTGTGACGAATGTACATCGTACGTATTTGATGGACCTTTTACAAGCACAGTCTCTGAGGTGCGTATATTGTTTCTTTACGTTTCTTTACTAACTCCTCTAGTACATTGCCATARCATACTAACCGTGTCGTCGTTTTAGTGGAACCTTATATGTGACCGCGCCTACCTGGGAGCTACTATTAACTCCTGCTTTTTTGCTGGGATGCTGATTGGTTCATTTGTGACCGGTATGCTGTCGGACGCCTGGGGACGAAAAAAGTGCCTGTTCTTCTGTAATGCTATAATGGTACGTAAAGAAATACGCAATGCTCTGACATTTGAACGCAGAATTTATTCGATTCCTTTTTTCGCTTTTTTCGGTTTTAGCCGTACATCTTCTGAAAGTTAGGGCATACACTTTTTCCCAAGATGTTTTACACAACATGCCCAGCNCAATTAATCTCTGTATATCTCAGGTTCACTATTGCTCTAGTGACGTTTGGTATTATGCTATTTTTCTCACAACTTTATGGAGACATTTACTTGAACTACACCATCATAATGGTGGCAACTTCGCTACGAGTACCAGTCACCTGGATCGTGTTTTTGAAGTAAGTAAARGAATGGGACGAAAAGTGTCCAATTTACCTTATTAAGAAGTTAAGGACGGTTACATGCATAGATAAACGAAAACAACAAGATAAAACGCATAGACGAGAGCAGGACAAAGTAAGGCACTCGCCACATGTGAACGACACCAGATGAACAACGACACTGAATRTTATTAACAATAATTTGACGTCACGATTAGGTTTGGTCGACGAGTTCCCCACGCAGTTATCATAGCAATTGGCGGCATCTCTCTTCTTATAATTTTGGTTGTCTACAAAGGTATCGTATCTACATGTCTCTTGAATCAAGTGCATTCTAGATATAGTCAATACATCCACGATAGTAAATTTATTCGTCTGAATAATATTAAAAAAGCAGTATAATCCGGCTGGTATTTTACTGGTATTTTACTGGTATTTTACTGGTATTTTACTGGTATTTTACTGGTATTTTACTGGTATTTTACTGGTATTTTACTGGTATTTTCCTCTTTACTCCGACGAAGGATTAACATCCGAAACGTCAGTAAGTTTTTCCACATACTTTTTTACGGTGTTATAAATTTATCCTTTTTACATAACTGTTTCTTTAGAAACACTGACGCAGCTCACACTAGTTTACCGCTAGTTCCCACCATTTCGGTATTTTACTCATGTTTTTCTAGATGTTCCCTTGGCAACTACCGCCTTGTCACTGTTTGGTTACATCATGATTGAGTGCAATTGGACAGGTGTTTATTTAATAACCGCTGAGTTGTTTCCCACAATTCTCAGGTACTATTCTCTTCTCTTATTATCATTTGCCATGTCTGCTCATGTTTACGTCTGTTATTCTCATCGTGTTCAATTTCTATTATCATAAACATCATCGACTTTTCATCAATTCAATAATTACTTTTGTAACTTACTTTGTGCATGTTGTTTATCACTCGTGACCTTTTTAAACGTTTGAAGATTTCTGAGATTTTATATTCTTTTTTAAATCTTAAATGGATCGTTTAACCTAAAGAAACACAGCACAAGGAACTGGTTCAACATGTGCTCGTATTGGAGGGATGATCGCACCGTATATCGCGATGATGGTAACATTTTTATTGATTGACGTGTTATTATGTGTAAGATGTCTTTAAATTACTCTTGTRCTTTCACAGGGTCAGTTACCAGGACTTAGCATTGCATTTCCGTCCGCCATATTTGGTTGTGCCGCAGTGTTAGCTGGGATACTAATGTACTGGRTTCCTGAGACACTGTACTCACCAATGCACCAAACCATCAAACAAACCGAAGCAGCTGAAGAGGACTTTGGGATACCTTGTTGTGGGAGGAAGCCAAAGTCTCACCACATTGAAAGCAAGATGTAGAAAGGAAAGAGTCTAGAAAAAAATCTTCTTTGATATCAGAGAATGAGGGCKTAAGTTAGTTTTCTAGTTTGTCATTTCCTTTGATGATGTTTTTTTAAAAATATGGAATAAAATAGACTGATTACTTCTGATTGTTTGGCAAAAATAACGCTTTGTGTTAAGAGAAAATGAGTGCTTTTGAAATATCTCTGGCATTTGTTTAAATATACCCACACTGATTTAAACCGTTCAGTTTGCCAAGTTAATTAATGGGACGAATGGACCAGGTCACCCTCCATGTCAATGATTAACTGATATTTGATTAAATTATATTATGCATAAGTGGATCGATCAGTCGCTTGTTGGTAAAATGTCTGGTGATAAAAGGTCATCAGTGTACGTAAATCGACATTGAGTTGCCCTCATTATAAGAGTCATTTTGGTAAGTTTATATCTCCAAAGTTTCGTGTGTGAATGCAGATATACACTTAGTTCAATATTTCCTGGCGTAACCAAAGATTTTTGCGTTGTTACGCTATCTGGAATTATGCGCGAGAGCATGGTCAATCGATAACAATGAAGGGAATCCGTAGTCGTAACATTCAATAGTTCTGTTATGTCTTTCACAAAAGCAACATAATAGCTAAAGAACTGGGGTTTGCCTCTGTTTTTATGCTGAGAAACTATGGGGTTTTCTAATTAGTCAAATTGGACAATAGAAAATTAAGACGAGCGATTATAGAGATTGGCACGTATTGTCAGGCAGGGATCAGAGGACTTATCAATTCAACAGCATACATCATTCACGCTCTGATTTCATCCACTGGGGCTTCTAAAACCGCTCTTCCAACACCATCATCACCATCCCTTATGTCAGATGCGTAGGTTCAGAAACACAAGACCTTTAGTGTTCAAGCATTGTTTTCAAAACTATGGACGATCGAGTTGGGTCGTGGAGTGGGCATGAATATGACGACATCTTTAACCATGTGAAGTCGTGTGGTCGATATCAGATACTTTTGTATGGCCTCATTAGCCTCCAAGCATTGCCCATGGCAAGTCAGTTTGTCAGTCTCGTTTTCGCAACAGGAACTCCGGGCTTTCATTGCGTGGCAGATAATGTCACCTGCCCTGCTAAGCAGTGCTGTGACGAATGTACATCGTACGTATTTGATGGGCCTTTTACAAGCACAGTCTCTGAGGTGCGTATATTGTTTCTTTACTAACTCCTCTAGTACATTGCCATAACATACTAACCGTGTCGTCGTTTTAGTGGAAACTTATATGTGATCGCGCCTACCTGGGAGCTACTATTAATTCCTGCTTTTTTGCTGGGATGTTGATTGGTTCATTTGTGACTGGTATGCTGTCGGACGCCTGGGGACGACAAAAGTGCCTGTTCTTCTGTAATGCTATAATGGTACGTAAAGAAATACGCAATGCTCTGACATTTGAACGCAGAATTTATTCGATTCCTTTTTTCGCTGTTTTGACAAAATTCAGGCAAATTCGTAACGGTTTTAGTCGTACATCTTCTGAATGTTAGGGCATACACTTTTTCCCAAGATGTTTTACACAACATGCCCAGCCTAGATTATATATCTTCTTTTCGCGTCGTCTTTCCATCCCACTGATTCACGTCTTCTTATGTAGCTTGCTGCAGGCATT